CAGTGGCCCCTCTTAGAATAATGTCACATCTCAATAAGTATTTATTAAAAATTAATTGAATTTAATTAATAGATTACTTATTCAATATATTTTACTTTTTGTTTAGGGCCTTGATAATGGTGGTTATAGTTACAGACTCAAATCTAGCTGATCTGTGTCAGTAACCATAATATTTAATTGAGGTTTAAAAAAATGATTCTGAATTGTAGGGGAAAAAGATACTACATCTAATATAATATACTTGAGGAAGTATACATTCACTTAATAAATATTTTTATAAATAATTAAACATAAGTAAATAAGTAAAATAGTAAACATTCACTTAATAAATATTTTTAAAACACCTGTAGTATTTTGGGTACTCTCTGGGAATGGAATAGTGGGATAGTGGTTACGGTGTATATTTGTATTTGATGCAATGCTGTGTAGTTTTTAGGTATAGTTGTGATGATTATAGCAACTTTTTTGAAGTTTTATAACTTTATTTGACAATCAACAATTAGTTCTTATCCACATTGACTATAGATTTTTGAACATGGTAACAGGAACATAGGTTACTTAAGTATAGGGGTTACTTGGTGAATCTTCATACTCATCATGTTTTCCTGAGGCACGTGAATTACAATATAGACATTCCTTATTCCTTTAACTCAAACAGCTTTGATGAACATAGTGTCAGTGTGCACATCTGGAATCCCATCTCCTTTACGGCAAATTTCCAGATCTTGAAGCCCACTTTGTGGATGTGCTTGTGAATGTTGATGGTGCATTCTTGGGTCTCTGCCTCATTGACGGCAGAACAGTCCTTCATCTTCTTGCCACCCTTATTTGTGGGAGCCATTCTGTTGGGCTCAAGTTGGAAAGGACCAATTATAATAATTTGGAAAATGCTTATAAAATAAAATTCAATATTTATATTCTCTGTAGCAGTATGAGGATTAGAAGGATATTTTCTGTTCTTAAATATTTGGAAACATGGTAAAATACAAATCTGATTTGTTATTGTGAATGAAATTATTGATAGTCCTTTTTCTTGGGTGCTTTGTACAATTCATAAAGCTGAAACGAAAATCGAAGTTTTTTGAAAAATATGAACATATATCAACTAGAAAGAGGAAATAGTATGTAATCAATGAGGAAAATAGCAAAAGCTATATTCAAAAGACAATAGATTAAATTACCTTGCTTGGATGAAAAATTAAGGTTTAGAAACAATGAGAATGGAGAGACTAGTTTTGATAAGATGAGCTGGAATAACTAGGAAATTATGTAAATAGGCAGAAAAAATTTTCCAGTTTATTTAAGCAAACTGAAGGTTATGTGGGGGGAGCATTAAACTAATTCATTGTGTTATCTGCCTTTTTCATATATAAATGAGTTTGTGATTATTTAGCAGGTCCCATCTGGAAGGGTTTTACTTGTTTTGGCATTGCAGTAGTAGTTAATAATTTAATAAAACTTTGTATATGCAGAATTTCTTGTTTTTTAATTTTTAAAATGTTTCCTTTGATTTTTCACTCTTGCCTTTTCTTGTCCTTAGAATTAACCTAGGTAGCAAATGCTTAACTATTTTGTCCTAATGAAATAAGAAATAAAAAAAGAATCTCAGGGGTTGGGATTGTGGCTCAGTGGTAGAGCACTTGCCTTGGATGTGTGAGGCACTGAATTCGATTCTCAGCACCGCATATAAATAAATGAATAAAATAAAGGTCCATCAACAACTAAAAAAATTMAAAAAGAAAAAAAGAATTTCAGAGGTAGAAAGGGAGTAAAATAAACCAGTCTTCATTAGTTACTGAATGAGTAAGAGCTTCTTGTAGTGACTTTCCAGGTTAGTTCTCTTATACCTGTTCTGTTTTCAAAGAAAATAAATGTCATTTAAAGTGAAATACTAGCTAAGTAGGTGTCTGAAATTTAAGACTCCTGTGAACATTTTATCTTATGAATATCTTGTCTATATCTATCTTATGAATATCTATATCTATCTTATCTATATCTGTCTTATGGATATCTATGTCTTATGAATATCTTATTTATAGCATGTGAAACAATTTTGAAACTATCATTGATTAATGATGTGTTATTGTAACTTTAGCTTGAGTTAAGTTATTTCAGGGTTTTATATTACTGTTATTATTTAGAGAACTGTTGGATCAAATGCAACAGTTTTTTTTTGATCCCCARTTTCCAAAAATGAATTTAAATTTACCTCCTAATTGGGTAGAAATTTTTGCTCTGATGATAATATTAAAAAGTCTAGGTTTCACGTGTGATTGGGACTGCTTTCCCCAAATGCTCTATTTTTTTCTTATATTTACGGCTAAAGAACAAAACCTTGTTCTCTTTTATTCATTATTTACTATATTCAATTGTGAATGAAATCAAATTATTAAAATTTGTAAACCAGGGAGATCTAATGGAAAGCAATTTTTATATCTGTTTCTCACAAATGTTTGTTTATCGGTGTAATAGCTGTTTATTTCCAAAGCTAAGGTAATAATTTTCCAGAAAAGCTTATAAATATCTATGCTTTCGTGGTGGTATTATTTCCATTTTCTTTCCCCTTTTCCTGCACAGCAACACATAAAACTATTATATGGCATAGTGATTTTATTCTTTACTTTAAATAACATGAAGTTAGAATCTAGGAAAAAAGGAACATATTTTAATTTATTTGTTATAATGAAAGTGCTATACCAAAGTAATTTCTAAAACCACTATCTATCAAGGACTTAACAATTTAAAATTCACAGACACTTAAAAGCACATAAACTCAGAGGCAATGTAATTTGTGATCTAATAATTTCACTTAAATGAAATTATCCTATAAAGTAATGAGTTGTGGCAAGAAGTTTATGTTCAAGGTTATTTACTTATAGCATTTAAAAATATTAGCAAAATATATGGAAGTTATAAATGATCAGCAATAAATAAAGTTAGATCAGTAATGTTTAGCCATAAAGTAAAATATCATACAGCCATTAAAATTTGTTTTTAAAGGCTAATGAAGTGGATTTAAAAAGTTAGGTAAAAACTAAAAAAAAGTAGTTTTGTGGGTTTTTTTTTTTTTTTTACTACTTTTTAAAAATAAATTGGTTGTTAACTGGTTAAAACTGCTGTTTGGTAGAGCACATATTTTATGCAGTCACCTAAGAGTAATGAGTTGGCATTTAACAGTCTCCTCAGGAGAACAGATTATTACATCCATCTTAATGTTGGTCTAAGGAGTATCTGAAAAGTTTAGCACTTGTGTGTAAAGGAATTGTTGCATGGGAGCCATCTTAATAAAATAAGGCATCTTATTTTATTAAGTAACATCTTAATAAAATAAGTGGGAACATTTAATCCTTATTTAGGCTCATTTTCTAAGAAAATAGAGAATTTACAGAGTATCTTTAAACAGTGAATACACATTATAAGAAATGTGGTGGAATTTTGGAAACTCATGATATTAGTAATATAGAAAATAAAATGAGCTTGGGATAGTGATGAAAATGGTTGTAATTATGAACAAGTAAGCATATATTACACAAAAGAATTTCTTTGCCCTAAGATTTTTATTGTCCATAGGAAAGATTATTTACTTTCTTTTTAATTTTTTTATTTTTTAGTTGGACACAATATCTTTATTTATTTTTATGTGGTGCTGAGGATTGAACCCAGGGCCTCACATGTGCTAGGCAAGCACTCTGCTGCTGAGCCACAACCCTAGCCCCCAGTTATTTACTTCACACTAGCATTTTCTAAGGCTTGTTGTAAGGGTTTTTCTTGTTGTTAGGGAGTCAAACAGGATTGATTGCTCAAATAGACTAAAGAAATTCTGGGTTAAGCCAGGTTAATCAGCTACCTTATCAAATGACTGCTGAGCTTTGTTATTCTCTTACCCCTATTCCCTGCCACATAGTAAATATTCCAAAGAGGTGTAAAGTATATATACCTAATTTATTTGTCCTTGGAATCCTTTCTTTTCATTTGTAGGAACTAAGTATAACTTCTGAAACACGGGCTGGGAAATTCTGTTTCAGATAACATTTTTCCAATAATAGAGGTATATGAATAATGACAGGATTGTTGACTGTATTCTCCTAGTTTAAAAAATAAGGTTAAATGATAATTGACAGTTGGAGAAGATTTTATTATTAAAGTGTTTACAAATATGGTAAATTTTGCTTTGTGTATTTTCCTTTGAATTTATTATGTGCATGTATTAACAGTTATAATCTCTTCCCTACATTTATTATTTGAAATTCTTCTGTTTGCTGAGACTCATTCATGGTGGATTTTTCCTTGTGTGTTTTTAGAATAGGGGCTGAAATTATAGAAAACTTGTGTTGAGTGGACCTAGAATGATTTTGCATTTGCTTTCCCAGGGATATCAATAGCCTGAGAACACTTTTATTCTTAATTTCTCAGATGGAGCTTCCTGGGGCCCGAAGATGGCCTAAATTCAACCCAGCCCAGGGTCTGATTGAAACAAACTATTATCTTCCTGTGCTAGTGGTTATTTATTTGTTTTTTGTTTTTGTTTGTTTGGTATTGGGGATTGAACCCAGAGGTGCTTAACCACTGAGCCACATACATCCTCAGCCCTTTTTTGTATTTTATTTAGAGACAGGGTCTTACTGAGTTGCTTAGGGCTGCACTAAGTTGCTGAGCCTGGCTGGCCTTGAGTTTGTGATCCTCCTGCCTCAGCCTCCTGAGTTTCTGGGTTTATAGGAATGAATCATCATGCCCAGCTAAAATTAGAAATTAATGCATTATTTTTATAATAAACAAAATGCTGATGATAATCATTCTTACAAAAATGTATGCTCTTTACTTATAAAGGTTAAATATATAATGCTAGTATGAATATCAGAGAGATATTACTGCTCTTTTTTTGTGTGTGTGGTGCTTGGAGCTACTACTCTTTTAATAGTTTTGTTGTTCTTATTTGTACACCAACCACTTATCTTTACTTGGCTTATTATAGTACCATACCACTCTGATTTTTCTTTTAGATGTACTTTCTGTAATGGAAGATGATTGAAGACAAGGGACCTCGGGTTGCTGACTACTTTGTTGTAGCAGGACTAACTGATGTTTCAAAACCTCTTGAAGAAGAAATTCACTTCAATGATGCCTGTCATAAAGTAGCTAAACCAAAAGAACCTATCACAGATGTTTCAGTTATTATTAAATCTCTTGGGGAAGAAGTACCACGGGATTATGTGTGCRTTGACGTTACTCCAACCGGACTGTCAGCGGATCTCAATAATGGGAGTCTTGTGGGTCCCCAGATTTACCTTTGTTATAGAAGAGGAAGAGATAAACCTCCACTTACAGACCTGGGGTAAGTAGTTTTTAAAAATGAATTATAGTTATTGATCCAAATAATATACTTGTAGGTTTTAAAGTTAATGATTCATTTAGTTCATTAATAGAGATATGGTAGCTCTGTACTCCCCTCCATCCCTCTCTGCCTGTCTCTAAAATTTTTAGATGGACATAATACCTTAAGCATATTATAATGATTTTAGATGGATGCTTAACTATGTGTCAAACAAGAATCTTGAGGTAGATTAGAGCCTTACTTAGGGTACTGTATTGAACTTTTTTTTTTTTTTGTATGTAACAACTTACATACAATTACATAGCATAAAATTCACCCATTTGAAGTATACCCTTCAGTGGGTTTTTAATATATTCACAGAGTTACACAACCACTACCACAATATATTTTAGACATTTCTATCATGCCCAAAAGAAATCCTGTACTTGTAGTAGTTGCTACCCAGTTCACCTAACCACTCAGCCCTAGGAAATCACATTTTACATTCGGTTTTTATGGATTTTTCTATTTGGAATGTTTCATGCAAATGGAAAAATACAATATGTAGTCTTTAATGACTGGTTTCTTTCACTTAGCATGATGGTTTCAATGTTCATCCATGTTGTAGTATGTGTCTACACATTATTCTTTCATATGGCTGGATAGTATTCTATCATATGGCTCATACGTTATTTATACATTCATCCGTTGATGGATATTTGGGATATTTGCACTTTTTGGCTATATGAATAATGCTGCTGAATAATCATGTATAAGCTTTTATGTAGACACATGTTTTCATTTTTGTGAAAAAAACCTAGGAGTAGAATTGCTAGGGTCTTGTGGTAATACTGAATTTAACTTTTTGAGGAACTGCCAGAATGTTCCAAAGCATCTCCACCATTATGCATTCCCACAAGTGGTGTATGAGGGTTTCAGTTTCTCTATATCCCAGCTAATATTTCATATCCTAGATAATATTTCATATTTGCCTTTAAATTATAGCTGCCCTAATGGGTGTGAGATGATAAATCATTGCAGTCTTGATTTGCATTCATCTGATGGCTAATGATGTTGAGTATCTTCTCATGTGCTTACTCCGCAGATTTGTGTGTCTTTGGAGAAATATCTGTTCAAATTCTTTGCCCATTTTTTTTTTTTGAGAGAGAATTTTTTAGTATTTATTTTTCAGTTTTCGGCGGACACAACATCTTTATTTTATGTGGTGCTGAGGATCGAACCCATAGCGCCCCGCGCATGCCAGGCGAGCGCGTTACCGCTTGAGCCACATCCCCAGCCCCTCTTTGCCCATTTTTTAATTGGGATGTCTTTTTTTGTTGAGCTGTACTAGTTCTTTATGTATTTTAGATACAATCCCTTATTAGTTATATGGTTTGTTAATATTTTCTTCTATTCTGTGGCTTATCTTTTCACTTCTTTTATAATATCCTTTGAAGTTAAAATGTTTGATTTTATACTTAAGTGGTATAAAAAATGTTTGATTTTATACTTAAGTGGTATATAAAAAAGACTCAGAGAAGTTTAAGTATTGACTAAAATAAAACAGCTAATAAGAGCTGGCAGGAACTTGAATTCATTTATATCTTCTCTGTTATTAGGTTCCTCTTTTTCTTTTGGTTAAAAAAAAAAAGAAAAAGAAGATCAAAAAGAAGAAAACCAAGCACTTAAGCTAACATTAAGGTTAACACAGTTGTGACTGAACATCAAATATAACTCTGAATTTTCAGTAAAATATTGTTGAGAGCCAGGATAAAAAGGGAAATTATAATTATTTAGGAAGGCATAATTTTATTAGAAAAAATAATGTGACCAATTCTTGGCATTAAATTTGTTTATATAATAGCATTTCCAGGAATTTTGATTGATTTTGAAGATGTTGCCTGTTATAACCATTTTTATATCAAAATCAGAGACATATTTAAAGTAGTAGAGCTTTAAACTTTTTTTTTAACCAATGTAAAGGACTTCGTTCTGAAGTTAGTGAATTCTGTGAGGAAATAACCTAATCTGTAAGTATGAAGTTTTCTTGGTGTTCCCAAGTGCTTTAAGAATTTGGAAGACTTAAAAAAATAATGCTTGGCCTGTTCTTTATTAAAAGCATATGATTTTACCACACAGAGTAAAGAAGAAAAAAGTTGTCTTTTACCCTGCCTTTTTTTCCTTCTTTTCTGGGTGCTAGGGATTGACTCCAGGGACTTGGGCTTGCCAGGCAAGTGCTCTACCCCTACTATCTTCAGCCCTTTCACACAGACTCTTATTAAAGATATATTTGAAGTTATTTTTCTTTTTCTTGGAAAAATTAAACTCTTAGAGAAATTAAAAATATATCACTCTTAAAGATGAGGGATATATTGGAGATAAAAATGTGCAAGAAGGTTCTATACTGTCTGGGCATGTAACCTTTTGTAAAATTTTAACTTTGGGCAAAATGTACATGTTTTTCTAAAGAAGATGCTTGGTTTTAATAAACAATCTAATTGTCTAATATATCTAATACAGTGTGCCACACTTCTACATTTTAGAATTAATTTATAATGCCTGAGAATATAACTTTTCAAATTTAAGGGTGCTTTGTGTATTTATTTATTTTTTAGGGTTTTATATGACTGGAAAGAAAGATTGAAACAGGGTTGTGAAATTATTCAAAGTACTCCTTATGGGCATCCTGCAAATATTAGTGGCAGTACCTCATCACAAAGGATTTATGTCACTTATCGAAGAGCCTCTGAAAATGTGACTCAGAATACATTGGCTGTCACAGACATATGTATTATTATACCCAGTAAAGGAGAAAGTCCACCACACACATTCTGCAAAGTCGACAAGAATCTCAATAATAGTATGGTAAGTGATTCTTTTGCACTGGTAAAGTTAGCCACTGGAGGAAAAAAAGCATAATTCTAAATGAATCTTTTCTTGAAAAAAACATAGYGTAATCACAGACTTGAAAAATATGTTTTTGAAGATGTTGGCTATTTCATTTTGAGAAAGTATTTTAGTTGTATTTTCAAAAGAAGCTATGCAAAACCCTTTTTTAAAAAAATATTTAAAAACCTAGCCAGCTGTGGTAGCACATGCCTATAATCCCAACAGCTCAGGAGGCTGAGGCAGGAGGATCATGAGTTCAAAGCCAGCCTCAACAACTTAGCAAGGCCCTAAGAAACTCAGTGAGACCCTGTCTCTAAAAAAAAAAAAAAAATACAAAAAAAGGCTGGGGATGAACCTCAGTGTTTTAAGTGCCTCTAAGTTCAATCCTCAGTACCAACTCCCCCCTCCCCCAAAAGCCATAACTATTCCTTTTTAACTGCAAAAGCAATATGCTGTCTCTAACTACCCCCACCCCCAACTTGTGTGCTGGGTTCCATACCATACACAGCTTTGAGGTCATGGCTTCAGCAACTCTCCCTAATTTTTTTTTGAATCATCAGATTTTCCCTATCAAAATTTATTTCCTACAGAATCCAAAGTAGTATACTGCAAGATATCTTTACAAAATTTTTTGGTCCCATATTTTCCTCCTTCTGTTGCTCCTTCCGTTGTTCTTTTTTTTTTTTTTTTTTTTTTTTTTAATTTATTTTAGTTCTCGGAGGACACAACATCTTTGTTTGTATGTGGTGCTGAGGATCGAACCTGGGCCACACGCATGCCAGGCGAGCGCTCTACCGCTTGAGCCACATCCCCAGCCCCMCTTCCGTTGTTCTTAATGATAAAACTTTTCAAAAGAGTTGAGTACATTTTGTCCCATTCCTCACTTTGACTCTGTTTATTTTGTCTCTATCATTCCATCAAGATTTCTTGTTGAGTCCAATTATCAGTTTCCTGTCTCAATTTTTTAGAAAGTTTTGATATAGGTGATCTTTTTTTTTTTTTTTCAGGAAACCATGGCAGGAAGACAGGATGTATTCTCTCTCATGTACTAGCTCATTTTTCTTTTTTTTCTAATATTTATTTTTAATTAAAGGTGGACACAATATCTTTGTTTTATTTTTATGTGGTGCTGAAGATCAAACCTGGTGCCTCACGCATGCGAGGCAAGCATTCTCCCTCTGAGCCACAATCCCAGCCCTACCTTGTTTTTTGTACTATATCACCCATCATTACTTTTCTGCCTTTGCAGATGCCTTTCTGTCTCCCAAACTCCTGTGTATTGGAGTGCCCCTGGGTTCAATCCTCACTCCATTTATCTTCACCATCTAAACTCATTCCCTTGATGATCTGATTATTTAAATACAGGCTATGTGTGGATGCCATCTATGTGTATGTGTCTAACCTGGATTTCTCTCATTTATTATTTCTTTTTAGGTATCTTATTTAATAGAATATCTCAAATTTCACATTATCAATATTGGACTCCTACTGTGTCTTTCCAAATCTGCTGAACTCCATAGCCTTCAAATAGAAATTCTACTTTTCTAGTTACTCAGACTAATAATCAGACTAATTATCCTTAGAATAATCCTAACCTTTCTTAGAATTCTACTACTCATTCTGTTCTTCTGTAAACTCTATTGACTAATTTTAAAACGTATCTTGAASTTTACCACTTCTCACCCACTTCATTGCCACAAGCCTAGTCCAGGCCCTAATAAACAACCCTTTAAAAATATAAAAATCACTCTTACGTCACTACACTTTATATACATGTATTAAAATATCACATTATACCTTATAAATATGTACAATTATTATATGTTATTTTTAAAAGACCTCACTCTTAGCTCAGGTGTGTAAAAAGAGGCCTAGCCAGATGTRGTGGTGCATACTTGCAATCCCAGTGACTCAGGAGGCTGAGGCAGGTGGATTGCAAAATCAAAGCCAGCCTCAGACACTTAGCTGAAACCCTCTCTCAAAATAAATAAATAAATAAATAAGCAGTGGGGCTATAGCTCAGTGGCAGTGGGCTTGCATAGCATGTGTGAGGTGCTGGGTTTCATCCTCAGCACCACATAAAAAATAAACAAATAAAGGCTGGCTGTCCATCTACAACTATAAAATAAATAAATAAATAAAAAGGGGTAGGGATTGGTTCAATCACTGGTACCAAAAAAGAAAAGGTCCAATTTKGAATGGATTCAGAAAATGATGAGAAATAAGAAAATGGATATAGCAAATTACAACTCTTTGAATTTTGGCATAAAAGATTTCAGAAAAATTCTTGTAATATCTGGAAGGGGTATGGAGTCAAATGGAAGGTATGCAGATGAATAGATACTTCTTAATTTATCATTTCTGCCCAAGGCTTGGACTTAGAATAACTATCTGAATTGTTATGGCTTAGTTTTGTATCAAAAGGTCAACTTTTTCTCACATTATTGGAATAACAACAATAACAACAGTTTAATTTTACTTCCAAAAGAAAACTGGGCAGTGATGCCAATAAAACACAGAATAACAAACTGAAAATACCTAGCAGAGAAAAATCTGTTACYACATTTTAGATAATATATACTATAGTATCTGGAGAGGCCATATTTTGTCTAGTTACTGTCTTTTAAAATTAAATATTATTTCTCTCTTTCTCTCTCTTAACTCAGTGGGGATCTGCAGTGTACTTATGTTATAAGAAATCGGTGGCAAAGACTAACACTATATCTTACAAAGCTGGTAAGTACATTTTTCAGGACATATTTTATATATATGTGCATTGTGGAGTAAGCTAAGGTTAAAAAAAGAAACAAAGCCTGTTTATGATATGTTAGTATCAGTACTGGGACTCTAACCCGTATCTTGTTGATTCTTAGTTTTGTCTTATCCATATGTTTTTAGATGCTGTCTGGAAGATTAATATGAAAAAATGTTTTTTTTAAGCCTCACATTTAAATAATAAGCAGGTGTCAGTTCTCTGGTAACTCTTCTCTTTAACTTCATACTTTGTAGGAAGTAGGGAAAAGCTAATGTAAAGAGTCAAAAAATATATGGAAAAAATGTTCAATATTTCTAGCAATTAGGGAAATAAAAATTAAAACTACATTGATGGGCTGGGTCTGTATCTCAGTGGCAGAGCGCTTGCTTAGCATGTATAGGCACTAGGTTTGAGCCTTAGCACTACATAAAAATAAACAAATAAAATAAAGGCATTCTGTCCATTTACAACTACAAATTTTTTTTTAAGTTACATTGAGATTTCATCTCACTCCAGTCAAAATGGCAATTACCAAGAATACAAATAACTGTGTTGGTGAGGATGTGGGGAAAAAGGTATACTCATACATTATTGGTAGGACTGCAAATTAGTGTGACCACTTTGGAAAGCAGTATGGAGATTCCTCAAAAAACTAGAAATGGAACTGTCTTATTACCCAGCTATCGTATGCCTTGGTATATATCCAAAAGATTTAAAATCAGCATAGGGGCTGGGATTGTGGCTCAGTGGTAAAGCGCTCACCTAGCACGGGCRGGACCCGGGTTCGATCCTCACCACCACGTAAAAATAAAGGCATTGTGTTGTGTCCATGTTGTGTCCATGTCCACCTAAAAAATAAATATTAAAAAAAATAAATTCAGCTTAGTACAGTGATGCAGATACATCAATGTTTATAGCAGCGCAATTCATAATAGCCAAGCTGTGGAACCAAACTAAATAACTTTCAACAGATGAATAGATAAAGAAAATGTGATTATGTCTGTGTGTGTGTGTGTGTGTGTGTGTGTGTGTGTGTATGTATGTATGGAGAGAAAGAGGGAGGGAGAGTATAGCATTTGCTGGGAAATGGAACTGGAGATTATCATTCCAGGTGAAATAAGCCAGTCCCCAAAAGTCAAAGGTTGAATGTTTTCTGATACACAGAAGCTAATCTATAATAAGGGGGTGGGGGATGAAAAATAGAATAGAAGAGCAGTGTAGACAAAGAGTATTAAAGGGAAGGGATAGGACTAGAATTGTGGCTCAGTGGTAGAATGCTTGTCTGGGTTCAATTCTCAGCACCACATGTAAATAAAAAAAACATCTAAAAAACCACATTTTAAAAAAAGGGGAGGAGGGAGAAGAGATAAGAACAGTGGGATGAATCTGACCTAATTTTCCTGTGTACATGTATGAATATACTGCAGTGAATCACCATCATGTACAATCCACACAACACTAATGTAAGAAAAAACTATAAGTAAATAGCAAAAATATCAATAGGATAGAGGAAAGGGAACAGTGAGAGGGAAGAGGGGAGGGAAATGGGAAGTACTGGGAACTGAATCAAAACAACTTAATGTTCCATGCTTTTATAATCTTGTCAAAATGAATCCTAATCTTATATATAACTAAAATAAATCAATAAATAGAAAAAAATAAAATACTAAAATGTAAAAATAAGAAAATAGGGGAAAGCTATATATTTTTCTTTATCTTTTAAAATATTTACAATAAATTTAGTCAAATTCAGTAGTTTATATGTAATTATATTTCACAAAAATGAAAAATATTGTAAACTAATTTGTAGGTTTATGATACACTGTTGAAGTATTTAATTTCTTTTTTTTCTTAGTTGTAGATGGACACAATACCTTTATTTTGTTTTATTTATTTTTATTTTTATGTGGTGCCTCACATGTGTTAGGCAAGCGCTCTATGCCTGAGCTACAGTCCCAGCCTGAAATGTTCAATTTCCAGAGACCTCAAAATACCAAACATACAGATCTTAATTATAAGATTGCAGATTCAGCCTTTTAAAATTAGAGTCCTGCACTCTTAATTTTCTATTCTCCCTAGTGGTAGAACCAACTACTCTTATTCCCAGTTTATCATTTTGTTTTGTGGCCACATCTAGTGATGATTTCCTTTTGTCTTTAAGAGCTTCAGAAATGGCAACCTGTTTTCTGTTTCTAGTCCCACAAAATATAATATAAGGCCCTGCTCCTAGAATTTGTTCAATAGAAGATGCATGGGCCATTTTTAAGACTAGTCTACCTAATGCAAAATCATAGGCTACTTAAAGCYCAAACTTTTTATAATAGCTGGGATTATTTAGAAGCTGAGTTTGAGTTAACATTATTTTGATGATGTCATAAATAGATAACTGCTATTTTTTTGAGAATTTTTTTGCATTTGTGCTAGAAAGTACATATACTTCTATGAGATGTATATTTTAATGTATAAAAAGTCCCACGAGGGAAAGTTATTGAGAACTGGTGGAGTGAATATATGCAAATAACCATATTGAAAATTTCAAAAAATATGCTTTATGGTTTGTGGCCATAAACTGAATTTTTTGGAGTGTATATGTGTGTTTCTACAGGATTGTCCTTTTTGTTAGCCTTAACCTAACCTTCTGGGTTTCTGTTCTCATGAATAAAAGGCTCAGGGGTCACTCCAGTTAAACTGGGCTAATTGGGCTACACGAAATAACCAYACAAGAGACACAAATACCTTTTTCTTTGGGGTCCCTGCGACGGCTCCTCTGACCTTAAGGGTCCGAGGGGAGAGAGAAAGAGAGAGCTGAGCGAGAGCATGTGCTGACCCCTTTTATTGAGGAGAAGCTATTCAAATGAGGCAAGGGGTCAGGTTTTGGGGGGGGGGGCTGAGTCTATCTTCATGATGTCACTGTCAGCAGGTTGACTGACACCTGGGTAGGCCACACCCAAGAGCATAGTAAGAGAAGGGGACACACACAAGACACTTCTATGGAAGATTCTATCCTAAACAGGGCAAGGGGTTATATTACAAAGGAACAGGTGAGTGTAGCCTCACCCATGGAGCTGTAGCAAGACACACCCATGCACGAGACACTGACCATCAAACCCAAGAAGGGTGGGGAAAGCTCTCCCACATTTCTGCGACTGAGCGCCTCAGCACCCAGCCCGGGAGTGTGACTTAGTCACATGTAATGTTGGTCTCCCACACTAACCTTTGTAGATAAAGCTTGATAAATATTAAGCATTTAGTCAATTTTAATAGTTTTAATGTTCGAGAATTAAAATCTACATGAATCCTGCTGAAGCATTCAGTTATTTGATGAACATATGTACAATGTGAAATAATAAAACAAATTTATTATCGTTCAGATTATGAGCACCTAAATTCAAGAGATGATGACCTAATATTTATCATTATTTTCATAGGTCTAATTTGTAGATACCCTCAAGAAGATTACGAATCATTTTCACTACCAGAATCTGTTCCCCTTTTTTGTTTACCAATGGGTGCAACTATTGAATGTTGGCCATCAAATAGCAAATACCCTCTCCCTGTGTTTTCTACATTTGTGTTAACTGGAGCCTCAGCTGAAAAGGTACTTTGTATTTTAATAAAAGTGTTTGCAGATTTCTTGTACATTTTCAAATCTTAAATTTTATATATTGCAAGGAACAACAGAAAAAGGAATGGGTTAAATAGAATCCATTATACATATACTTATTCCAATTGGTTAAAACAACTGTATCCAGAGAAATAAGAATTAATTTTTACTCTGTCATTTTTCCAAATGCTTTTTTCATGAATATCAAATGATGATCCTTCATTGGTTCATTTTCTGTGATAAAGAAGCTTTGAAAATAATGCAAAAGACATTATTGAGTATATAACATGATTTACAATCATAGCTTTTCCCCTATCCCATGCCAGGGATCAAACTCAGGGCCTTGTGCATATGAAGCAAGCACTCCACCACTGATATACATCCCTTGCCCTAGAATCATAGACTCATAGTTGGAAGGGAGACCTTGAAGTCCAGAGAAATTCTGTGAATTTCTCAAATTTGGAATTTATATTTTCTTATCTAAAATTTTCTATTAAATAATTGCAACCATTTTCTTGCAGAGAATATTGTTATAATAACTTTCACTCTTTTTAAAAATTTTTTAAGTTTTAGTTATAGATGACATATATACTTTATTTTATTTATTTTTTTAATGTGGTGCTGAGGATCGAACCCAGTGCTTCACCTGCATGAGGCAAGTGCTCTGCCACGGAGCCACAACCCCAGCCCATAATTTTCACTCTTTATTTTAAAAGTATAATTTAATTAAAACACCTTTTTTTCAATAAAAGAATATGTAAGAATACTACTATATAGTTCTCAAGTACACTAAGAAAGCAAGGGTGTTATCTTTTCATCACTGTGTACCTAGTCCCTGACACCTGGCCTGGCTTATGGCAAACACCTGCTAAATATTTAACAGATGATGTGATTTGAATAAATGATACAAAATATATGTATTAAATATGTTACTTGTTTTGCAGGTTTATGGTGCTGCTATTCAGTTTTATGAACCATACTCCGAGGAGAATCTCACAGAAAAACAGAGACTTCTTTTGGGTTTAGCACCCCTGGCAGATGGGAAATCAGATAGTTCTAAAACAATTCACACTAACAAATGCATCTGTCTTCTTTCTCACTGGCCTTTTTTTGATGCATTCAGGAAGTTTCTGACTTTTCTATATCGTTATTCAATCTCTGGACCTCATGTCCTTCCAATTGAGAAGTAAGTTAGAAGTTTCTTGGTTCAAAATTTGGCAGACCTTTCTATTATGTGGTATTTTTGTACTAATTATTGAGTAATTTTTATTTCTTGAGAGTTATTTGGGGAAAATGATCATTTTATTTCTCTCAGGTAATATTTAATTGTCATACTTTTAAAGGGCTTTTTAAATAATTTTATTTAACAATGAAGTAAATGTTTTGAGATGAATTGTTTGAAATGAATATTTTGAGCCTCTTTAAAAAGGCTTTTATAGGGGCTGAGGATATAGCTTAGTTGGTAAAGTGCCTGCATTGCATGCAGAAGGCCCTGGGTTTGATACCCCGGCACCAAAACACCAACCAAACAAGAAAAAATGCTTTTTATAAAACTTAAAAGATCCTAATCTGGAGGAATTTTAGAATTTTTTGTTGAGGTGGTAGTGGTACTAGGGATTGAGCCCATGGCCTCATGCATGTTAGGTAAGCACTATAACACTGAGCTATGTCTCTAGCCAATATTAGAACTTTTAAATCTAAATTTGTTCTCAGATATAATTTAGGTTTATTATGAGCCTTTAAGAATATTCCTTACTCTAGGCATGGTAGTGCATGCTTGTAATCCCAGTAATTTGGGAGGCTGAGGCAGGAGGATTTCAAGTTCAGGGTCAATTTAACAAAACCCTTTCTGAAAAAAATTTTAAAAATACTAAAAAGGACTGGGAATGTAGTTTGGGATAAAGTACCCTCTCTAGTACCAAAACAAAAGTTTTGCGATATTATACAATTGGTCATTTGGAAAATACTATTTCGCTGAGTCAAGCATATCTTCATAATGTAGACACGTTTATCATCAATATAAAAAAGTGTTTGTTAATATTACCATCTATCTCATCAGAAGAAATTTTGATTATCAGGAAGCTGTCAGGTTCATGATGGTAAAATTCTTAGTTTTCACTTGCACGTTTGAATTTAATTATTAGCAGCAAGTACTATCAATTATTTTTCTTGTAGCCACAAGCTCACTTTGTTCATTTTTATAGAGAAAATATCTGCTGACTATGCAACACTGGGTAGTTTTTATTTGTCAGTCATCTTTCTGGCTTTCCATGGGTTGGAAATCAACKAAATCACTCAAACTTGCTATATAAACTTGGCTTTTCCAAACTCAATCACCGTACTTCTGTTTACAATGGAAGTGCTTTATGCATATGTTCCCTTTTACCATACAGAGTAATTTTTTATTGTGTATGGCAGAGTTGAGATTTAATAAGATTAATTTTACTGCTCAAAGATATTCTTTTTAAACATTTTTTAGTTGTAGATGGACACAATACCTTATTTTGTTTATTAATATGTGGTGCTGAGGATTGAACCCAGGACCTCACACATTCTAGACAAGTTCTCTACCACTGAGCCACAACCCCCAGCCCTTCAAAAATATTCTTAAGTGAAATTCATGGTTCTTTTTTATATTAGCATATAGTATTAAAGAATATAATAATTGCTACTGCAGTTTGGTTGGTGTCACTGCCTTGATTCTCAGGTGCCAGCAGTTTTATCCACAATGCTTTTGTATCATCAGTGCGTTGTTAATCCAGTGAAAAAGGAAAATGATGTCTTAGTATTATTGTAAAAATAGTTTTGATCTCATAGATTCTCCCTGAATGAATCTTGGAAATCTTTAAGGATTTGTGGATCACAATGTTCATTTCTGTTATTCTTACTACTTCAGTATTTGGAGAAGATTTATGTCCTGTGATGGTTGTTCCCACTGTCACTTTTTTTTTTTTTTTTTTTACTTTAGGTTGTGAGTACTTTAATGGTAGAGACTGATAGCTTTATGTATTTGTTTACATTTCCTGTCATGTCTGGTGTTTTGTTTGTTTTTATAGTGCTGGGGATTGAATGCAGGGCTTTATGTTTGCTAGACCAGTGTTCTACCACTGAGCTACATCCCAGCCCCTGCTAGTATCTTGTATATATAGTAAAAAGTTAAGATATATCTGTAAAATTAATAAAATTTATTTCAGTTTTCTCTATCCATTTGAAATGATCTCACTTTTGAAAACAACCTAATTTTGAAATAGTATTTAAAGGAAAAATAAAAAAAAAATCTTATTTCTAAAACAAAATTTTTTTATACTGTAATTGCAATTTTTCTCTGATAGTGTTCAAAGCAAAACCAATTGATCTAATTTTTTATCTGTTTTATTCTGGGAAAAAACTTACGAAGTCAGTAATAGTATTTTAAACTTGTTTGATAGAAAATTTAGTGTCCATCATTGAGAAGCATTGGAACTTTCGTTTTTCTGGAGCACCTTAAATGGTTGTATCACTTCTAAAACATGAAAAATTGACTAAAAAATATATTATAAATGTAAGAAATTGGTTCTTTATAATAGTCACATCATTGACACATAGAGGTAAAAGTTAAAATGTCTTTTGAGACATTGATAAATATTGTTGAATATGAACAGCTATTAATGTGAAAAGTTATTGGATTTAGGCAGAAGTAGTTTTAATGAGGAACATAATTTTTGAAGATTGTTCATTTCTTTTTATAAATTAGGGATTTTAGATTTGTAGGGACATAGGGATTTGACTCACCTTTGACTTGTTATGGCATATAGTTTTCACTTTGGAATCAATTGAGTTTTTTGTTTGTTTGTTTTTAAGGCATATTTCTCATTTTATGCATAAAGTTCCTTTTCCATCTCCTCAGAGGCCACGGATTTTAGTTCAGGTAAGATTTCCTTAATATGAGTGTCATGTGAATTTATTAGTGACTCTATCAAAATATAACATAAAAATGATTTTATTTACTTATTTTAAAATGTTTTTTACATATGACAGTGGAATCATAATGGATTCATATTACACATATAGAGCACAATTTTTCATATCTCTGGTTGTATATAAATTCGTGTCTTCATACATGTACTTTGGATAATGATGTCTATCACATTCCACAATCATTTCTAACCCTCTGTCCCCTCCCTTCCCCTCGCACCCCTCTCCCCTGAGTTGATCTATTTCTCCCATGTTCCCCCTGACTACCCCACTGTGAATCAGTCTCCTTATATCAGAAAACATTTGGCATTTTTTTTTTTTTTGGATTGGCTAACTTCCCTTTGCATTATCTTCTCCAACTCCATCCATTTACCCGCAAATGCCATGATTTTATTCTCTTTTATTGCTGAGTAATATTCCATTGTGTATATATGCCACATTTTTAAAAAATTTATTCATCTACTGAAAGGCATCTAGGTTGGTTCCACAGTTTAGCTATTGTGAATCGTGCTGCTGTTGATGTGGCTGTTTTTAAGTCCTTTGGGTATAAAAATAATTTTAAGTGGAGAAAAAATTGAGATCTAAAGAAAACCAGATACTATTTCATGTTGAAGTTTGAATCCTTCATATTTTATTAACTCACTCCCAGGCATCTAATGTTTTTCCCTTACAGAAAGGATTAAAAAGTTTTAAAAAGTAGGTAGAAAGTAGACATTTTGAACACACTAGAAGGGATTTTCCCCTTAAAATTTGTTCTAAGCATTTGAGGGTTTGTGCCTTTGGCAATCATTTTGTAAGTTAGTGTTAGTATTAGAATGGATATATGGAAATGTTATACGTTTGCATATACTGTAGGAAGTGTAGGAAGGAATGCCCATATCTTTGGTGTGATGGGGAAGTTTTAAATGATTATGAATTATTTTCCCCATCTCTTTCCCAGTTGAATGTATCTTTTCTCTTTTGTTTATGCCTCTGTGTGTGTGTGTGTGTATGTGTGTGTGTGTGTGGTGCTGGGGATTGAACCCAGGGCCTTATACATTCGAGGCAAGCACTCTACCAACTGAGCTGTATCCCCAGCCCTATGCCTCTTTTTGTTTGTGCTCATGATAATGTAAGTTGTCTGATTATTTAATAATTTATGGTGTGATTTATATAAAGAAAATATTTTCAGGTATTATCACTATGTATGTTTTACTGTGTACCACAGCCCTTAATCTGGTATCATTTAATATTAGAAACCATTTGTCAAATAGATATTTATAAAATTGTAGAAATGTGCATAAATTTGAAAATGCAGATAAAATTACTTGCATTATTATATTGACACAGATAAGATGTCTAGGAAAATATCATTTTGATGACCCTTAAAATCAGTCTGAATATCTACATGTCATTTCTTGTCTTACTTGTAGGTATTTAGTGACAGAGTATATATAGCACACTCCATTTGAATACACACAGAAGATTTGTTTTATAGCGGAAGCTGGCAAAATTTTCCTGTTAAGGACCTTATACTAAACATTTTAGTCTGTGTAGGCTATTCAATTTCTGTTGAAACTGCTCAACTCTGCTTTTAGAGCACAAAATTAGCTAGATAATATGTAAAGAATAAGCTCAGCTTTATTCCAGGAAGAATTGTTTACAAACAGCCTATGAAATTGTTCTGTATAGCACTTTGCTGATCCACATTTTTATGGTATTAAGTGAATAATTTAGTCTTGTAATGCAAATTTATTAAAATTACATTAGGGAAAAGTTGAGTCAGAAGAAGAGAGTTAGGATTCAGAGTAAGAAGTTCTCGGAAGGGATCAGAGGTCAGGACTACTTTTTAGGATCTTAATGAGTGTTATTAACTATTTTTAGACTGGTAAACCTGGAAACTTCATGGACAACATCATTAATTTATATGTTTTTATCAGAAAATATTGTTTTGAAGCTCACCTTCCTATTTTAAATAAATTATTTTAAATCTTCCAGTTATCACCACATGATAATCTGATTCTCAGTCAGCCTGTTTCTTCTCCTCTTCCACTAAGGCAAGTAAACTTTCATTTCTGTTTATCATTCTCTAAATCTAGTGTGAGCTCAAGTAATATTCATATGTATTCTCTTTCTAGCTAAAGTTCAAAATGTTAATGGAAATACTTCTCATTTAACTGTTTCCTAACTAAGTTCCTTTTACTTAATATTTGAATTACAGTTTTTGATAAAGAAAAACTTTTACAATAGTATTTAGTGCTTTGTGTCTTTATTGTCATCGAACACTTACTGTTGTATTTATGCAGCTTATAAAACGATTTTTAGCTTCAGTTATCCTCTGAAGAACATTCAAATGCAATTTTAAAATTAACCCAAATAAAAATTGTTATAATTCTTAAATAGTAGATTGGAAAAATGTGTTTCAGCATTGTGAAAGTTCAGAGAAATTATAGTGTTTTCTCTGCAGTATCTTGAAGTTTAATTAGCTGGGTAATTTTATTGTAGGAAATAGTTAGAATATAATTAAGCTATTATGTAGCACATACCTAAGGGAGACTAGCTGCCATCTTTGATGTTAATTTTGTAAGAATTGCAGATTATTTCATCACCAGCACTTAGCCAGAGTGACCCTGTGTTTTTTAGAACTTTGAGCTGGAAATAAACTAGAAATATTGATGATTGTAAATCAAAGGACTTCATTTAGATAACAGCTTTATTGAGATAACATTCATATACCATACATTTGCCCAATTAAACAATTTAGTGATTATATTGATGAAGTTCTACAGCTATCACTATAATAAATTTTAGAGAACTTTCATCACTCTAAAAAGAAACTGTACACTTCAGCAGTTAACCTTCTTTACTCCTGCCATCATTACACACACACACACACACACACACACATATATATATATATATATATATATATATATATATATATACCCCCTATCTAGCCCTGGGCAAGCAGGCATCTACTTTCTTTTACAATAGATTTGCCTATTTTGAACATTTCATAAAAACAGAATTATATGTAGCCTTTTTGTTTATTTCTGGCTTCTTTCACTTTGCATGTTTCCAAGGTTCACCCATGATGCAGCATGTTTTATTACTTTATTCCCTTTTGTTGCCAACTAATACTCTTGTATGCATATACAATATTTTATCGGTTCATCAGTTGGGAGGTTTTCACATTTTTGGCTACTATGTATGATGCTTCTATAAATACATGCAAGTTTTTGTGAATATATATTTTTATTTCTCCAAGAAAATTTTATTAGTTTTGCTTTGTTATAAGAGAATTAACCCAATGAAACCAGTTGTTTCACATTATATAGGCACACTACTGTTTGACTTACTGAGTTATTTGCTTTTTTAAACCAGTATTTTGTTTGAATGTCTAAATTTATTGTTGTGATTATTAATTTGTTTTATATATGTGTGACTCATCACTTTGTAGCTCTTGATTTCCTTTTGCTGTTATCATTACAATAGTAGGATGATATATTCATAAATCCACATTTTAATATATTTACCTTAAGAGAGGTGGACCTATAAATCATAGCTTTTCTGATGATTGCAGTGATAAATGTGCCATGTTACAAAGACTTCCGCTAAAATATTTACTTTAAATCAAAAAATCCCTTTTATTAACTGAATATATATTAATTGTAGATGGACACAATACTTTTATTTTGTTTGCTTGTTTCTTATGTGGTGCCAGGGATCGAACCTAGTGCCTCACACATGCAAGGCAAGTGCTCTGCCACTGAGCCATAACCTCGGCCCGTAATTGAATTCTTTATTTGGATACTATCTACTAAGCAGATAGTTTTACCTAAAATGAAGCAGATAACTTTTCATTTTTCATATTCAATAGAATGCAGAAAGAGTGAATGATTTTGAAACCTCTTAAAACTGCATTGTTCATACAATAATTAGGGCGGGGAGAATAGAAGTTCAGTGGATTAGACAAAGGAGAATGAAAGAAAGGGAGGGCAGATGGGGATAGGAAAGACAGTAAAATGAATAGGACATAACTTTCCTATGTTCATATATGAATATATGATTAGTGAAACTCCACATTTTGTTCAACTACAAGAATGGGATCCTATGTTATACTTCATGTATATATAGTATGTCAAAATATAATCTACTGTCATGTATATCTAAAAAGAATGAATTTTTTCAAAAAGAAAAAAACTGTATTGTTTTCCAAGTGTGTTTGTAAAGCTGGGTTTTCCCTCTGTAAGAGCAGCAATCACATTTAAAGTTAAAAGACATAATACAAATTATACCTTAATCTCAAATTTTCCTCCATTATTTCAGATAATAAGACATATGGATCATTTTTTTATTATACATTTTTGTTTGAATTGACAGTGGTGGCAAATTTTCAACACTACTTCAGAATCTAGGTCCTGAAAACGCTGTGTCACTACTGGTGTTTGCAGTAACTGAACATAAGATTCTCATCCATTCCTTACGACCTTCTGTGCTTACTAGTGTAACAGAAGCATTAGTGTCTGTGAGTATCAGTTTCTTATTGACAATCAACTTAGTTGAAACTTAATTTGTTAGTATAATTTAAAACTATTGTAATGCTTAGCTAAATTTCAGAGAGTAATGAATTTATGTATTTAGTTATAATTATTTAATTTGTTGTCAAGCATTAGACTTTAGGTAATAACATTTGAAAGATAGTTTTCTATGTGTGCTGATAAATTATGCTTCAGCGTCAAAAAGCTAAATATTCCTCTACCCTTTGTTTATCCAAGATGATTTTCCCTTTCCACTGGCCATGCCCATATGTTCCTCTCTGCCCACTGGCTTTAGCAGATGTCTTGAGTGCACCATGTCCATTCATAGTAGGGATTGATTCAAGATACTTTGATCTGTATGATCCTCCACCAGATGTCAGTTGTGTTGACCTAGATACCAACACCATTTCTCAGTAAGTACATTTTAGTGCTTCTACGCCTAGTAATTTACAAGTACAAAATATATGTATATAATTGTATATTTTATGATTGCTAAGTAGGATTCTTTTGGGATATATTATTTTCTTTGTATTTGGGGTAATTACCATCTTTGAATTGGCTGCAATAGATTTAGGGTATTAGGAAGGTTTTATTGGAAAGAAAATATACATTTAATCCTCAGGCTTTAAATATTTAAGGAACATTATAGTTTTATTCTTGCTTAGAAATTTAGCAGAAGGGCAATTGAGATTAGAAATTGAAAAAGTTTTATTTTCTTCAAATGAGAATGGGTAAAACCACAAAACGAATTAAAACAGTACTTCTTGATTAATAGTTCAGTTCATTTCTAATCTTATAAAATACAATCAGAATAATAATACAAAACAATGTAATAGTTTAGAGTTTTAAAATAATTTTTAGTTTATATGTAATTTCATTACCTCTACACTGTAGGAATATAAGGATTTTATAAACTTCCCTCTCTTTTTATTGGAATAATATTTAAGTTGTGACTGTTGGATTGTATTTGTATAGCTTTTTATTGTTTCTTTGTATGCCACATTTAATTGTACTTAAGGTATTCAAGGAAGAGAATATTGATATAACATTGCAACTACAAAATATGCTTAAAATAACTATGAGTTAGTCTTTCAGCTAAGCCCAAAAGCTGGTATAGATTTTGCACTTAAATGAGTAGATATGAATTAGGTTTTTTCTTATTTATTTATTTATTTATTTATTTTGTTAGCCCATTTCATTTTCTGGAATTGAACTCAGGGCCACGTGTGATTAGCGTGTGCTCTATTACCGAGCTGCACTCCCAGCCCCCTCCATTTTTAAAATAAGAACTTTTCATCTTAAAGTCTTTTGATTTATTTCCAAAATTTCCTTTCCAACCCCCCAGTACTATGGATAGAACCCAGGTGTGCTCTACCACTAAGCTACATTTCCAGTACTTTTTTCCTTTTTCATTTTGAGACAGGGCCTTACTAAGTTGCTAAGGCTGGCGTCAAACTTTTGATCCTTCTACCTCAGCCTCTCTGAGTTGCTGGAATTACAGGCTTGTGCTTTCATACCCAGCATAAGTTGCATATATAGCCTGTTATTCCATTTCATTCTCTGCACTTTATGAGGTAGTTTTTATTCCTCTGACCAGATGAGTAAATCAGAGTTTATATTTTTAAGCATGTAGTTTATTCAGTCARAACTGTATTTTGAAACTTGGCTGATTCAAAACTTATATTTCTGCCACTATTTTTTTGGTAACGATATATGTAATAGTAATCTTATAAGTGGAAGTCACTGAATAGAAATATAGAAGGCTATCATATATAAAATCTCAAATATTAGAGAAAATACTCCTCCCCAGTCATGTTTTAGAGTAATAGTATCAAGGGCAGGAGAAGGGAGTTATATGAGTAAATAATAATAATTAGATATAATCAGGTGATATGAAGGTACTTCGCATTTGCTAGTAACTGAATAAAATGGCAAACCAAATATATTCCTTTCTCTTATATTGCTCATAATCCAGTCTAGTGAGATAGGCATGTATGCTGCGAATGCTAACATACAGTGGGAGTGCTGTTTTGCAGTTTCATCAAGATAACAATGTTAGGAGTGTTTCCTGCATTGAGTTCTTAGTGTCACAAGATTCCATACTCTGAAGGACATTATAAATGTAATAATAGCTTCACAGTAGGACATCTGCCATTTATCCTTGCTGTATTTTATCTTTATCCCCATTTGTGGAAAGATAGGGTAAATTTCAAAATCATCATTCTCTGTCAGCTTAAACTTTCCCATTCACTCTTTTTTTGTATGATATTGGTCCTTTTCATTCTATGGAAAGTTTAGGAAACATTTTTAGAAAAGAATACTCAGAAAGTTTCACTACCCATCTTTGCTAAATTTTTATTTGGTGATTATAAATTAAATAATTTATCTTTCTTCTCTTTTTTGTCTATATTTTTCAAGTATTCTAAAATGAGCTACTCAAGAGACCGAGTCAGGAGGATCACAAATTTGAGGCCAAACTCGGCAATTTAGTAAGACACTGTCTCAAAAAATAAAAAGGGCTGGAGATGCAGCTTAGTGGTAGAATGTTGCCAGATTCAATCCCCAGTACTAGGAAGAAAAAAAGGGGGGGGGGAAGTGGTCTGGGGATTTAGTTCAGTGGAAGGAGCACTTGCTTAGAGCATGCATGAGGAAACCTTTGATCCAATCCCTGGTGGCACTAAATAAATAAATAAATTTTTGAAATAAACACACAGGAAAAAAAAGATTTAGCAAATAAGAAGTAGACTCATCAAAGCTATAGTTAGGTCCAAAACTTTTATGGTGCTCTACACTCTTTTCATTTCAGACCCCATATATAGTTTATAGAGAAGAACTGAATTATAATAGATGTAATAAAGGAAATTATAGGAGCCTGTGCTAGAAACAAAGATATCAGTTTCTATCATAAATCCTCTTTTAAATTTGTAAAAGTATTTTTAATATTATACTTTATTTAAGTAATTTAATATTATAGATTATTTCTTTTCTGAAAGATATAATATTTACTTATAATTTTAGGAAATTGAGAAACTACATATTTAAGTATACCAAAGTATTTTTGATAGGCTGTATGTATCATAAGTTCCTTGAAAGTTTTATACACTGCTTTTTCTCATATAAGAAAAACATCTTATTGGAAGATTTTTCCAATATTTAAGTGTCTAAGCATTCTGATATGATCATTAAAGACTAATTAACGATCACCAGATTCAGGTTTGTGATGGTTAGCACGAATCCAGTTTAAGTATAATATACTTGGCACCTATATAATTACAAATGTTTGAGCTATACTTAATAGAAAATCCAACCTTCATATGAATTAATTTTTATATTCAACATCTCAACTTACCCTATAGATTTTCCTCATTAACCTAAATATTCTGTATGTGTTTTATATTGTTATTCACTGTGTTTTCTATTTTATATATATATATATATATATATATATATACACACACACACACACACACACACACAAGTATATACCACCTCCCAAAGTCGGTGTGACAAATATATTGTTGTTGTCATTTAATCTCAGAACTGCTGACAAGAAGAATGTAACTTGGAAGATTCTTCCAAAGAAACCCTGTAAACATCTGATGAATACACTGAATAATTTGCACCAGCAGCTGGCAAAATGTAAGTGAATAACAATTAAAGGATATAATTTAATCTGGAAAAGGGAGTTGCTCTGCCTTATTCACAAAAGGATAATACTTATTTTATCTAAAGGAAAGTGTCTTTACAGTATTTAAGGCAAACAAGCACTGATGCAAAATTTGTTAGAAGCTGAATTGGAGATTTGTAAAGTTTAAATTTTATATCTACCAGATTTTCTTAGAAACATCAAAATTCAAAAGGATATTAATGTGACTGTTTTCTTTAATTTTACCATTACTGAAATAACATGAAAAGATGGGTTTTAACTTATATATTTTCTTTATACTATGTATTTTGTTTATACTTAGAATAGAAAGTTAATTTTGAAAATCCAAAATAAATAGTTTGAACTACATTTGAAAATGTTGATGATTTCAGAGGGATGAGTGCTGTCATATGTTTTCATCTTCAAGTGGCTCTTAATGCTGTGCTTACTTCAAATAGTTTGAAGACAGAAGTTTGCCAAAAACATGAATTCATCAAAATGAAAATCAATGAGAATATGAAATACTTCGGGGTAAAAAAGCTTGTGTAAGAATATATTTTGAAGAGCTGGGCACCTTGACACATGCCTATAATCCCATTGGAGGAAGCAAGAGGGTCACAAATTCAAAGCCAGCATCAGCAACTTAGCAAGGCCCAAAAACTTAGCAAGACCCTGTCTCAAAAAAGTTTGGGTTAAGGCACCTCTGGGTTCAATCCCTGATACACCTCTCCCCCCCAAAATTATTATTATTGTTATTTATATTTATGTTTTAGCTGTTTGGACACAATACCTTTATTTATTTATTTTTATGTGGTGCTGAGGATTGAACCCAGGGCCTGGCACTTGCTAGGCTAGCACTCTACCGCTGAGCCACAATCCTAGCCCCATCCCTCCCAAAATTATATGTATATAATCTTGAGAGTTCAGAATTAGATTATCTGATTAGAAGAGTTAAACTTTCTATTCTTTATCCAATCTTGGTACTATAACCATAACCCATTCAGAGTCCATAATTTAATACTTACTTTGTGAAATGTAGTCGATAGTGACAGTAATTTTTTTCTCATTTATTTATTATTGAAATAAACCTAGGAAATGGCCTACACTCTTGAAAGATTTAAGGTGCTTATAGTATAGTTGAAAAAAGTATTTACAAAGCAATTTTGATAAGATAATTCCACAGTRGCTCAAAAGTATTTGGAATATGAAAACAATGACATCAAATACAACAAGATTTTATCTTATGGAACAAAATAAAAAGAGTTGACTAACTAATTGCTCTCTAAAAGTACTTGAACTTCTTTTGAAAAGCTAAGTTGAGTATGGTGACACATGCCTGTGATCCCAGCAGCTCAGAAGGCTGAGGTAGGAGGATCTCCAGTGCAAAGCCAGCTTCAGCAACTTGATGAGGCCCTAAGCAGCTCAGCAGGATCCTGTGGCCTGGAGGTTAAGTGCTCCTCCAACCCTGGGTTCAATCCCCAGTACTTAAAAAAAAAAAAAAAAAAGAATAAGAACTACATAAAATTTTCTAAGAGGATTAATTATTCCTTGTGTTTAAAAAGATGTTTAAATTTTGAAGCCATCACATACAATTTTTTTTCTTGACCCTTTGAGAATAGAAACCCATCACATCTGAATAGAATGTATTACCTACCAACAGGTACATCCTTTTGTCGCCTCAACATAAAATCAGGAAATTAATATTGAGTATTACTACCATCCTAATCCTCAGATCACATTCAAGTTTTGCCAGTATTTTCATAATTTTATCTATGGCAGAAGGATCCAGTTCCAAATCAGGTGTTGTATTTAGTTTTAAGTATCTTCTGTTTCCTTTTCTTTAAAACAWTTTTTCAGACTGGGCTTGGTAATGCATGCCTGTAATCCAAGAGACTCAGGAGGCTGAGGCAAGAGGTTTCAAGTTTTAAGCCAATCTGGGCAATTTAGTGAGACCCTGCCTCAAAATAAAAAATCAAAAGGACTGAAGATGCAGCTCAGTGATAGTATCCCTGGTTCAATTCTCAGTGCTGCAAAAAATAAAAATGAATAAATAAAATCTAAAATAATAAAACAATTCTTCAGAGCTGGGGTGGAGCTAGTGATAGAGCACTTATCTACCACGTGGGAGGTCCTGGATTCCATCCCCAGTACCAAAGAAACAAACAAATTAAAACAGTTTTTCAGTTTCTTCTTCGTTTTCTTGATACTTTTAAAAATATACTTACCATTGTAGAATGATCTATGATGTGTGTTTGTCTGAGAGTCCTTTTGATAGATGCAGGTCATACATATTTGGCGCCTTCCTCTCATTGTGTTTATCAGGTTGTGCACTACTTCAGTTTGTCCCATTATTGATGAAGGTACTCCCTTCAATACTTGATTATGGTGATGTCTACCAGGCTTCTCTACTGTGAAGTTATTACTTTACTACCTGTTGTCATAGCATTCAACCAGATAGGGGAAAGAAAGAGTTGGGTTTTTTTTTTATATTTTAATTCCACATATATTGAAAACAAAAAGAAAGGTGGGAAGGGCTATTACACTTAACCCTGTGTCCAGTTAATTTGGTTGGTATGATCTGTGTGTATGTGTGTAGATAAAATATACTCAACAGAGCCTAAAAAATAAGACAAGCTTTCTTAAGGTTTATATATTATGAAGTTGTATAAATAAATAGTTGAAGTAACGTGAGCCCTTTTGAAAACACAGTATACCATTATGAGCACTGGTTTTGATAGTTTGGCAAAAGCACTAACTTTGTTTGTTCACAGTGCAGCAGAGACCAAGAGAAGATGGACTAATGGACTTAAYAATGAATGACTATGATTTTAATTCTGGAAAGAGGTTGCATATGATAGATTTGGAAATCCAAGAGGCATTTTTGTTTTTTATGGCCTCTATTTTAAAAGGTTATAGAGCATATTTAAGGCCAATAACACAAGCCCCATCTGAGACAGCAACAGATGCAACCTCTCTTTTTGCCCTGCAAGGTGAGTGATTGCATAGTCTTATAGCTTTAACATTATTGAGCCTAGCCTTGAGATAATTCAGTTGCTTTCTGAATTAATAGTCTGTGTTTATCAAGATACATACCTGTTTTTGAGGAATATGTGAATACCAGCTCTGGTGATCCAGATCTGAAGGACTAGTTCTTTGGTTGGCATGTTTACTATAACCCAAGGTATATAGAAGTAACTATCTGAAAAGTACAGAATCTCCTAAGTATATAGAACTTCACTCTGTGTGTCATCAGATATTGGTGTTTTCAGGGCAGCCAGGTAGTGTTGGAAAAGCAGAGGCACTACTGGGATGGTTACTCCAGGCTTGTGTGCTCTCATTTGCTTTATTTCGGCTCTCATTACAAACATTACTTTCTGTCTGTGCCACAAAGTAAAAAAAGGTTGGAAATCCCCAGGGTGCAGTTGGTGTCACAGTACATATTTCCTTCCTTTTGTAGTATGTAATATTTGAAAGAGAAATTCATTTAATATGTAATATATTGAATGCCTCCAAATGCTGGCTATGTATTAGTATGCAAAAGAGACATGACTGTTACTTATCTCACAGAGCTTATAGTCAAGAAGATAAGCAATTAGAAATTAATATGAGTGAAGAACTTTAATTTATAATTTTAAATTACAGAGGCCCTTTGAAGTATTGTTTGAGCCCTGATCACAAAGATAAGTAGAAATTTGCCAGGCAAAGGGAAGTTGAGAGTGTTTTAGGAAGAGAGACTAGTTTATGCAAAGTCCTTGAGGCTGGAAAGAACTTTAGTTCATATCTAAGTGTAGTATAATAGCACAATGAGGACATGGAAGATAAAATCAGGAAATAAACATTTACTCTGTTTTCAAAATGTAAGAGAAACATAAATGAATATCAGAAGGATTGTTACTGCTTCTTTGAAAAAGCCACACCTTTTTATTATAAATATAGAGCAATCTATTTTTATTTTTTTAAAATTGGTTTTATTTTTAAATAAAATAATTCTGACAGAGGAATGCATTACAATTCTTATTACACATATAGAGCATAATTTTTCATATTTTTGTAAATAAAGTATGTTCACACCAATTCATGTCTTTATACATGTCCTTTGGTGTTTTGTTTTGTTTTGTTTTGCATTATAATTCTTATTACACATATATACCACAATTTTTCATATCTCTGTATATTAAAATATGTTGACACCCAATTCGTGTCTTCATACATGTACTTTGGATAATTATGTCCATCACATTCCACCATCCTTGCTAATCCCATGCCCTCTCCCTTTCCCTCCCACCCCTCTGCCCCATCTAGAATTCATTCCTTCCATGTTCCCCCTCCCAACCCCACTATGAGTCATCCTCCTTATATCAGAGAAAATATTTGGCATTTGTTTTTTTGGGATTGGCTAACTTCACTTAGCATTATCTTCTCCAATGCCATTCATTTACCTGCAAATGCCATGATTTTATTCTCTTTTATTGCTGAGTAAAATTCCATTGTGTATACATGCCACATTTTTTTTTTTTTTTATCTATTCGTCCACTGAAGGGCATCTAGTTCGGGGAAAAGCCACACATATAGATAGAAAGATAGATACACAGAGAGAGAGAGCACACGCACAAGCAGCGGGCGCACAAGAGCATACAGGTATATATACCATGCAAAGCATTGGGACCAAAAATAGAAATTTTAAAAATACTTTCAGATTTACTAGTTTATGGATCATCTTCAAAAGATGGGGGCAATGGAGATAATTTTGGATGGGAATTTGAGATACCTAGGTTTATATTTCTTTTGTATTGGTTTTTCTATTGCTTACTTATTTGTTGGGTCATTTTTTTTTATCAGAGATCTTAGTTTCTCTTTTGATTAAATAGTGGGGAAGATTGGGGTTATCAGTGACATGTTTGATCAGGTTTCTGCCCACTCAAAATTCCTATGAATCTAGGGGCTGGGGTTGTGGCTCAGTGGTAGAGCGCTCGCCTCCCATGTGAGAGACCCTGGGTTCGATCCTCAGCACCATATAAAAATAAATCAACAAAATAAAGATATTGTGTCCATGTATAACTAAAAAAATATTTTAAAAAATTCCTATGAATCTATAAATGATGTATATTCTCACATTATATATTTATGTTGAACAGCTTTCTTAAGAAGCCGGGACCGATCACATCAAAAGTTCTATAACATGATGACCAAAACACAAATGTTTATTCGCTTCATTGAAGAATGTTCTTTTGTCAGTGATAAAGATGCAAGCTTGGCATTTTTTGATGATTGTGTAGATAAAGTAAGTGTACATGTGTCCAATTTATTTTGTGTGACTACTATAAATGTTATGAATTATAGTTTCTATTTATAGCTTTTAACAAAAATCTAAATTAATTCAGTTTCATAATTGACTATAGACACTATAGAGTGTACCTCTTAAAAGCATTCTCTATGATTTTACTAAATCACGAGTTTCATTTTAACAATCAGGTTTTTTTCCCTATCTGTGCACTTATAGACTGGGTTTTTCTGAACTGTGAACCTCCAACTGGAACATTCTTAATTTTCACCTCTTTTTGTTTGAGGTGAATTTCAAATGTTTAGTGTAGGTGAACTACAACTATTTACCTGTCCATGCTGGAGAGAGGGGAGAGGGAAGATCAGTATCTCAGAAAGGGGTATCTAACCCTGTATGTGGTGAGAAAGGAGGAGTAGCTTACTGTGGATATCAGAGCCCAACCTGAAAAATCAGAGGCCAGGCAGAATAAAGATTGTATATGCCAGGCAATGGGCAGACTGCTGCAGGGTGTCAGAACTTCCAACAATTTAAACAAGACGGGAAGAGTGGGGATAACATGGGGTGGGCACAGAAAATGAGACGACAGAGTTTGATTTGAATGAGGGAGGTGCCAGCTTGGTGGGGATGGGATTTGGTGTATAGGGGAGTATCAAAGCCAAATTAGGGTGAAAGAAGTCATCTGCATGGTAGAGGAGGGGCAGTGAAGATTGGAGTATGTTCCACATGAAAGGGACTGATCAAACAAGTAAATATTTTAAAATTTCTCACTGTTGAGGAAGTAATTTACAAATACAGAAGTAGAGAAAACTAGAATGAACCTTGAAGTGCTAGAATGGAATTAGAGGTTTAGTGTGGTATCTTTGGTTTTCAATAATAAATGTAAAAATAATGATAAATATTGATATAAGCAAATGTGTCTATATGTATTGGTAAGTATTCTCTAGCTCTGTACATTGAATGGACCTGGATGCAGTCACACCCCAATTGCAATTTATACCTGAGGCATAGAGTTTGCATCAGTTATAAATACTGTTCTCTACCAAAAGGAATCAGGACTCTTTGGGGAAATGTTGGTCTGAAGTTTAAAGCAAGGAGGGTACAAAATGAACCCTACAGTATATTATATTAGAAAATAATGAGTTGTTTCAAGAATGATAGAGACATGATAAAACAAACCCAAACACAGAAGCCAATTTGAAGGGATTTCCACTGACAAATTTGGGACAATTTGAGCACCAGATGTTAGTAGCATATTAGCCTGTTGAATAAAATAGGAAACCGTGAGTCTATATAGTTATGGGTTGATCAGTTAATTGAAAGTCTGATGAGAAGAAGGGTCTTATACAGTTTCAAGGTTCTTTCTCACAGAATACATAAATAATGACAAATGGAGAAAGAGTAACCATACAGTAGAAAAACTTGGCTGACACCACTTTAATAATCAAGTGATCAATGTGAGCATCATCAGATCAGTAATGAGGTAAATCAACATAATGTGCCCCTGATTTTTGGCAATGAGAATGCATTATCAATTCTATAATATTCCTCCCAAAGATGTATGACCTCTTTAATCTTAAGGAAATATCAGACAAACACAAATTGAGACATTCTACAGATACATATTCTGTAATAGGTTAAGATTAAAGAAATAAAGGAAAAATTGAGAATTTGTTCTAGAGGGAAATGAAGAGACTTTACAGCCCAATACATGTAATACATTGCTCAGAACTGTAACACTTAGAACAATCAGCAAAACTTGAATATTGTTCAAGGATTAGGTAGTAATAATATGTAATATGTTAGTGTTAATTTCCAGTCATACTTATGTAGGAAGATATCCTTTTTTTGTTGAAGTATATATTAAAGTATTCAGGAGTGATGAGTAACTCTCAGAGATTAAGAAAAAAAGTCATTTGCACTATACTAAAAACTTTTCTATTAATTTGTGATTATGCATAATGCATATAGTGTTTGTGATTTTATGCTGTTTGTGATGATAGAGAAAATGAAGAAAACAAAACTTTATTGTATCTCAGCAATTTATTGTAAATTATCTCAACAATTACAAATGTAAGGCTGTTTAAAGAAACCCATAACTTTTAAATTTAAGTGACTATGAAAGAAAATCAGTGATTTTGGGGGGCATAATAGCTAAAATATTACTTATCTCTCAATATTCAAAAATCAGCTCAATGCTGAATTTGACATGAAAATATCCTTTAAATAAACACCATATGTCTTATAAAAATGAGAATTGAGAAGTGATTCTCTACATTGACAATCAAAGTACTTAAATACCAACTATTATATTAGTAACTTCAGTCATTTACTTTTTTCTATGTTATTTTATTATCGTTTTTAAAAATGTGAGGAGCTGGGCACAGTCGCGCATGCCTATAATCCCAGTGGCTGGGGAGGCTGAGGCAGAAGGATTGAAATTTCAAAGCCAGCCTCAGTGATTTAGCAAGACCCTAAGCAACTTATCAAGACCCTGTCTCTAAATATAAAAAAGGGCTGGGGATGTGGCTTATGGTTAAGGACTCCTGGGTTCAGTCCCTGATACATACACACACACACACACACACACACACACACGTTGTAAGGAGAGATTATTGTAACTGCCTATCTCGTGGTATTCAGAGTAGTGTTGTATAAACTAAGAAGTAGAAAATATTACAGCTGTCTTTATTTTGGGGTTTTATCCAAGTTCATAGATTAATTCATTTGGTTTTATTATCATGACTTAGAAATGTTATTTTTAAATGACTGATGAATAGCAGGAACAGGTTCATAAGCATTTACCTTTTCCTACAATTTAGAACACTTGAGCAATAGTTGATATAAAAAATAATGTTTCTGATACTGATAGAGAGTTAATGAGCTAAAGATGACAGAAATATCAACTCTAGTCCTTAAAATATTTTGGAATAGGAAAAAATAGATATATGCCATTATCTGTTTAGAACCTAATTTATTTTCCTCTAGAAACACTGATATAAATGATGAACCTATAATTCAGATGATACCGGGGTGCAGTGTTGTGTGTTATAAGTATGTATTAATTTTTCTGTGTATGGAATGAAATTCTAAATCACTTTTTAGGACACGTAAAAATCAAATTTGTTGAGTTATGAAATACAAACATTAAATGTACCTTAAAGTATATATTTTGATGAGTTTTGACAAATATATCCACATAACCATGACTTCAAAATATAGAACATTTTCGTCACCCCACAAAAGGTTTTGTTTTGAGGAAAGATTTGTTTTCTTTTTTGTAATTATCTCTTTACAAATGGACTTTTGGATCCCTGCTTTTTCTAAGTTAAGCTCTACCTGTTTACTTTGAGAAGGAGATCATGTCCTACCTCCTTGACATTTGCCATTACAGCAGTGAATCAATAACATTTTTTAAATATTTTAATCAAAATTTTATGTTTGCCTTATGTGGTGCTTATAAAATTAAATACTGGCAATAAATGGGAAGGTAAGTCTTTTAAAATAATTTCTCTTAATCCTGGTTTATAGTATGAATAACTGTGTTTTTTGCATAAAAAATGTTTCTGGATTAGCCTTATATACTTTAAACATTTTTCTCATATGGTTCTAGGTTTCTACTGGTCATACATATATATTCATGGAACTTCCATTATGAACGATGGTATTTTTATAACAGTTGTTCCCTGTGCCAAGCTAACTGAATCATAAGGAACCAAATTAGTCATCAGAGTTTAGCATGCTGTAACCAATAAACTTATTAATCTACATGGGAATACTGAGTTAGTTGTAGAAATCCAATTAAGAGCTTAGAAGAAAGAAATATTATATTATTTTTGAACTATTAATGCATCTTGTTCATAAATTTGTATTTCACCTAAACTCATATTGTAGTGTCACATACTTTTTTGAAATATTAATATGGTAAGATGCACAAAACTTATAATTTTGCTAGATACCTAGGGTATCATTTCCTAAGTAGCATAGCTTAGTACTGATAATTAATACATTAAGTGGTCTAGGATTTTCTGTAGGTAAAATGATTTTCTGTATCATTTATTTGATGGGAGTCAATGCAGGAGATGATTGAAGCAGTTCCTTTAAAAATATAAATTCTGAAAAATCTCAAAAAATAAAATTATATTAAATGTATAAACATTGGTTCTAGGCAAACTATTTTCCTAAAATACAATTTACCTGGTCAGAGTCTTAATCCAACAAAAGATCATTTATGTATACTGGATTAACATTGTACTTAAGGATTTTAATGAGTAATCAGAAAATCAAACTGAGAACACACTAAAACATTGTCACTTGCATTTGCTTTATTATACTTCCAGAGAATTTTATTAGAAAAAGAAAGTTATCACAAGATTTAAAATATAAACTTCAGATRTAGTTAGAACAGAGATTGGTTATATTCCTAAGTATTGTTAAGCAGAACTCCCGGAAATATAAGTAACTGTACAATGAATACATTGAGAACTGCCTTTTATATTTTAATACCATAATAAGTATAGCAAGCACAAAATATTGGTGCTTACTTTTAACCTGCAAGTGTTTTTTGATGATCAGTCACGCTTTAAGAATGCTCACGTATGAGGAACTGGTGATATAGCTCAGTGGGGGAGCACTTGCCTAGCATGTGCAAGGCTCTGGGCTCAACCACTAGCACTAGAGGGGATTAAAAAAAGAATCATTTATGTGGAGGTTATCCCTTAGTTGAATGACTGTGAGCTCATTTTTTAAGTGAACAAATCCTCTTACATCTGGCAGTTTAGCAATGGAAAATATTAAATATGCATTAACTGCCTAAGCCCATCTGTGATTAAGATTGAAGAGAAATTAGATATTTTACTCTTTTGATCTTAACATATTCAAACAGAAAATATTTGACTGACTTTTAAAATCTGAAGTGAATAATGCTTAACAGAAATAAGAAAAAGAGTATATGAGAATTATTTGAGTTTCATTTATGACTAATTTAAGAACCATGTGTTCTT